AAACAAAAAGAGTCAGAAACTTAATGAACTGAGCCTCCCAGCACCCCTCTCTTTCCATTTCTGAAAAGCATATTTTAGGAATCTGGCATAGGAAGGTATGATTTGCTACATGTAGTTCTATAAAGTATATTTGAGTACACGCAATTATTTATAATTAATAATTCATATTGTGACTTACCTGGGCTTTTAGTCCCATTTTATGTAGCTTTCGTCCCTTGATAAATCCTTTCATTCCATTTTCCACCAGAAAAAGGCTAATGCCATGAGCAGGAGAGTGAGCTTCATGATTTGTGATTGCCACTACGATCACAATGTCACTTAGCTGCCCATTACTGATGAATACCTGCAAACCCCAAATTTACTGTGACACTTCACAATAAACCAGGTCGATGTTTAAGTCATGATGGGAGGAAAGTATATTCAAGAAGACTAAACCAGACAAGACATGCTTTATGCCTCTCTTTGTACTCTATCCAAATATCTTCAGTGTTGATTATTCATATATGAGGTTATTAAAAAGTACAGGGAAAACAACCCATTGCTTCAAAGAATGAAGTCAGTACATTTTCATTCCATAATTAATACTGTAAATAATGAACAGAGCTTATTATGTCTTTTCTAAATTAAAGCAAAATACTCTATGATAACTATATGATAAACTATATTTTAGAAAGAAACTGAAAATGAGAAAAAGGAATCTGTTCTAAATGGCAACATTAAAGTATTTGTACTCTCACAACAGTTTTTGAAAAGGCATGGATTTGATTTTGATGATGGATGGCCTACTTCTTTCCAAATGGCCTCAATAAGGAGATAATGATTAAAGAGGGATAAAATAACATACTAAATAAGAGACATGAGATTACCAGATGATATTTATTTATCAAACAGATATACCCAGCACAAATTATTAACTTATTCTGTGCCTTTCTTGGGTCACCTCAAGCACTTCCATGGCTTTAATTACCATCTATCTGCTAATGACTCCAAATCTTTAAGTGAAATTTCTTGCTAAGTTTCAGACCTGTATACCTACCTGCCTCTGGAGAGTCCGCCTGATGACTCATGGGCAGAACATATCTTTTCCTACCCTTAACTCTTAACTAATCTTGAATATAAATCTATTTTTCCTATCTCAGTGAATGGTGCCAAAAAAAAAATCATGTTATCATCTTGCTTCATATTCAATTTGACTTCTAATTCTCTCTAATCCATTTCAATACTTTATGAATCCACTCACTTCCTTTCTCTTCTATTGCCATTACCTTATTTCGGGGCCTCATCATTTCTTAAGTTCCTACAACTGATGTCCCTGCACCTCTATTATTCATCATGATCTCAGAGACCTTTTTTACAATGCAATCTAATCATATCATTTTCATATTTTGAAATCTCTGAATAGCTCGTAATAGGCCTCAGGATAAACTGTAAACCTTTAGAAGGACATATAAAACTCATCAAAAACTGGCACTAGCTTATCAGTCCAACCTTATCTTTTATCTCATTTTTCTCATTCCCTGTCCTCAGGTCAACTCCACTGAACTAATTGCTATCCTTTCTATTCTAAGGTCTTCTTTACCTATGTGTCTTCAGAAATCTTGTTTCCTCCACTGGGTGGCTGTTTCCCAATGCTGCTAGGATACATCCTACCATTCTGGACTAAAGTCTTCCCAAATTCTCCAGGCCAGGTTAAGAGCTCCTGTAAGCACTCTGAATTCACCATCATCTTAGCATTTATCAAACTGTATTCAAATGATCTATTCCTGTCTCTATCCCTTTGAAATAGTAGGAGTATAAAATGGCATCAGTTACTTCTATCACCTAACATCTATGCCCTTTATAAGATTTATGTTCTCAAATCCACAGTGCTGTACATAAAAATAATGGGAAATAAGCCAATGATGTTAGTGTTGTCTACATGATAGCAAGTGAAGGCCGTGGTGGTGGCCTGGTTATAAGTGACACAACAATCAGAGACCCTCAACATTTCTCTCTACAAGGAACTCCTCAAGGGCAGGGACTATCATCAGTGCTTAGAGTAGTGTTTGGCATATAGAAGGCTTTCAAGGATGTTTGCTGAATAAATGAGAAAAATGTGTTCCTAGAAAAAAAAATTATACATCATGGCCAATGTATTTTTTTCTACAATATTGCTCCATTATACCACTTGCTCAAAAACCTTTTAGGTCTCCCAATTTCATATTTTTCTAAGAGAATAATGACCATCTGTGTAGGTGCACAGTTGAATTGCTGAAATAGTGCTTTTCTGTTCTGAATCGCATGTCCAGGGATTAGTGTCTATAAGCTCTAAATCCACAGCCTCAGACATATATTAACAGACGTTATTATAGATAAAAGACAAACAATGGAATGAAAGGAAGGGAGGAGCTGTTTATACGAAAAAAATTGTTCACTTTAACACTCTGACTTCAATTTGGAAAAAGTGAATAGAATTCTTCAACAGTTTCTCTTAGACACAATTATGGAAGAAGGTTAATCGATTCTGAACCATTTCTGCAAGAGTCCAACAGAAGGCGAGTATTTCCAGTATGACTGCTTTCCTTTAAGAAAATTCTCTTTGTAAAAGGACTGTCTCAATTTCGTTCTTAATTATGACAGTCAAAACTCTTAATAGGGCTGGGATTATCCCTACTGAGGGCCATCATTTTTTTGGGTATTGAATGTTTATAAGTTCATTGTAGACGTTATATATAGTATATTGTTATAAAGAAAAAAGAAAAAAAATCCTCAAGTCCGTCATGTAGATATCATTATGAATTTCCTTTCTGTTTTTTTTTCCTTTTAACATAGTTGAAATGTATGTGCATTTTGTTACTTAGCTGAAATCTAGGTGTATAGAAGTTAATATGATCTCTTCACTTAATTATTTTCCTAAGCCATTAAAAACTTTGTGTCAACACTTTGATGGGCACATCTTAGGGTCATTTTTTTAAAGTTTATTTATTTGTGGGTGGGGGGGAGGGAAGGGCAGAGAGAGGGAAGAGAAAGAATCCCAAGACACAGGGATTGGTCTCTCGAACCGTGAGATCACGACCTGAGCCAAAATCAAGAGTTGATCCTTAACCTACTGAGCCACAAGGCACCCCTTAGGTCATCTTATTGAGGTACTATATTCACTTACTTATTCCTTTACTTTTGCTTCCTTTCAATTTTTTGTTATTTCTAATAGAGGTTTGGACATAGTCAGTGGAGTTTTCTTGGGTGGTTCCCACAGAAGAACTGCTAACAAAGCTGGAGTCATAAGAGAATGTGTTTCCCATTTGATCAAATATCTTAGTCTTCTGTGGCCCTCTGTGTGCAGAGTTAAGTGATTATTATACTGGAATCATCTTTATTATAATCTTTATTATACATGTTTACTATAATCCTTAAGACAAATAGTTTAGACTAAAATTTCTAACAGTTGTGGGGAATAAGCTTAGGAATTCCCTGAGGTTGCACTGATGGCTTAACAAGGCATAAGGAATTAGAAACCCACAGAATGAACACACCCAAGTTTGGCTAAATAAGATTAGGTAAACAAAATTAGGTAAATAGGTTGCAAAGGCCCCCAGTATAGGAGAAAGGTATAGGAATAGGAAATCTCAGGATGTTTTCATCATCCAAAATGAGGTAAACAAGATTAGGTATTCAGGGTGAAAATGCCCCCCCCCCCCAAGTTAGTACAGTAACAGAAAGCTGCTTTCACAGGAAGGAAGGACAAAAACAGGAAAACAGGACTTTGGACCACAGGAGGATGAAGTTGCCCAGAGCTGGAGCTAATTAGCAAAAGAAAGATGCCTTGCTGACCCTGAGGTAGCATGCTCTGTCCTTCTTGTTCCCTAGGCCAGTTTAGGTAAACAGAGGTGGTGCCTCATGTCTGCTGTAAACAACTTTCCACCCAGCTCCAGGTTTAGTGTTGACCCAAACCCTAACACTGAATATCTTCAAAACGCCCTTTCCCTCATGCCCATGAGTTCATGTTCATGATTTCATTGTCTCTTTGTGTAAGTCCATCACGCTTGTAAGTCTTCTGATCCTAATAAAAACGGAGCAAGCACCCTTATTCGGCACTCTCGTCTCCTCCCTGACATTAGCCTCTCTCACATTTCAATCCTGCATCTGCTCTCTTGCTGGACAAGAGAGAACGCCAGACCTAGAGTCTATGACAAAAACTATGTTTGGGAAAATACTAGTGACTCAATCTATAAAGATAATTTCCTAGGGCATAAGACATACTATACCAAACTTTTAGAGGTTTATAATGCACATTAGCATGTCAAAGAGTGAGAAGTTGCACACATTTTCTAAATTTATTTGACACCACAAATACTGGTTTTTTGTATAACAACTATGAAACTAGATTATGAAATGGTCTTTAGACCTGGGCTGCTCAAAATGTGTTCTTCAGACCCATTCCAGTCCACAAACTGCTATTAGTCCTTGACAACGTAAGTACAGAAATCAAGGCTGTTTACAAAATTGAGAGCAATTTGACAGTAGCACAACATTCAAACTTGTGATTTTGTAAATGCAAAGGTATTAGTCTAAAACTAATTAGAAGTTTTAAAAAAATTCAAAGAAAACAAACATAAATTAGTTCTTCAACAGGCTTTGAAACAATTTTCAGAAAGACCTCCTTAGTTGCAGAAAATAAACATCTTTCCTTCACTTAACACTCAGTCAACAATAAATATTTACTGAGTGTATACGAGACACAGTTTTAGGTAAACAAAATCCTCTGTCATCAGTGATATTAGATTCTAAGGGATATATTTACTCCTAAGCCCATCTGTAACCTTAACTGGAGGGGCTTTCCAATTCATCTAGGCTGATGTGACTCTCAGAAGGACTGAAAGGCTCTCAAATTCTATCAAAGCTATCCTTCTTTCCTAAGAACTTTTGAAAGTCTTCTTGATATTTATAAGAAAATCTTATCTCCAATTTTTCACAAACATCAAGTTTATTAATTATCATTTGTCTCATATTTGGACAATGTGAGCCTCTCCTTCCCCTTTTCCGGCTTGATAAGGGCGGTTTGGACAGTAAAACATTTGCCATAATAGTGAGGGGAGCATGTAAAATGGAACATACAAGAAGAACAGATCTCATGTAATATAAATGCTGCAAAGTTCACATTGTCCCCCAAACAAAACAACTTAAGTAAATTCAATTCTTACATGAGTCCATAGAATGAGACAATCAATAATGAGCAGTCTTTGAGACACTGTTACTTGTGGCATGGACTCTGGAGAGAAGGGCTGTGGGAGCCCCTCTTTACATACCTTGCTTCCATTGAGAATCCAGTCACTCCCATCCCTTTTGGCATTTGTTCTTATTCCTTGCAAATCACTATAATTTTTTAAATAATGAAGGAAAATTCATTAGTTGGTAAAAACTGAGTTATTCAAGTATTGTTGTATAAGTATGCATATAATGTGCTAATTCAAACTGTTCATACTATGAAAAGAATTGACTTCTAACTAACATTAAGAATGTTCACACAAATGCACTGAAAAACCACATCTGATGTATTATATTCTAAACCGCTTACACAAATGAATATATGATTAAGATTACATAAAGTAGCCAGATTTTATAAAGCATAAAAACTCCCAAGTAGATCCCCAAATTGGACTCAGATAGCATCTCAAAGCCCACTATATTTGAAATTATTTGCCACCATATATCTGCCTCCCTCTATTCACCTTGATTCCTTCCCTTATCTCTATTGATCAAAAGTTAGCTATTTAAAAGACTTACGTCTCAAATGCTTCCCTTAACAAGACTGCTCTAAAAGTGGGATAGATTATTTTTTCTAAGTATAAAATAAACAAATATCCATAGTTAAAATACAAAAGAGAGACAATATTTCTGACAAAGAAAAAATACTGAAAAAAAACTTACTTCCTAGAATAAACATTTCTAAAATACATCCTTCCAGAATTTTTCAGTGAAAATAGATACACACATATACGTATTTTTATAAAACCAGAGCCATACATATGATTTTGACCTCTTAATAATATCTAATGCTTTTCTATAATTTCATTTCTATCAATGGCATAGAATTACATTGTATAGCTTTATCATTTTTTAAAAACAATCTATTATTGAATACTTAGTTTTCAATTTTCATAAATATCCTACAATGAATACCATGAGGTATAAATAGTCTACATCACTTTTTCTGATTCTTCTTCTTGAATATGGTCTTTATATTGTAAGTCAGTATGAAATATTAGTTCTTAAAATCAATACATGGCTTATTGAAATACTTGTTCTATACATGGACATATCAAAAGTAACAAAGGTAATGACACAGCTCAGTTTGTGGATTAAAAAAAGCTCTTGAATGGTAAACATGGAATATTAAAAATATACTACTAAAATATATACTACTTATAGTATTGCCAAGAATTCAGACCCTTGCAATAATCATATTAAGTAAGTATCACTGATACAGACATTGAGGTTCAGAGATTTCACCCACAATCACACAGCTGGTGTCAGAATACTCTGGATCCAATGTCATCATAGGTTAGCTCTATGAGTTTGGTTAAAATACTTCATTTCTCATGTTCTGTTCTCCTTTACATAGGAATCACAGTATATCTTCATATAGATTATTGTGATAGTCCAAACAGAAAATCAACATGAAAGATACAAAATGTTAAGGTATCATACAAATACACACAATTACACATTAGGGAGTCTCCTATGTACGTGGAAAGGAAAAGAGGCAGGGATAGTCTGAATCTTTTCTAGCAAACTCCACCCTCTTTGGTGAAGGCCAAATGAAAGCAAGAATGTAAGAGTGGCCAAGTTGTTCCTAAAATCCGGCACAACAAACCATCTCCCATCTTTATTCCTTCTCTCCCACATGCTTTTTCTTTCTTTCTTTTGGAAACACTCTTCTGCATCTGCCGTTTTCCTTCACTCCTGCACTCACTCATATGGCCCCTTTGCTCGTCTCTAAATACCTGACCAATTTGCTACCTTTCCATCACTTATACCAGCCTTCCAAACCATCTGCCTCTTTTCTCCATTCTCCTTCTCAGTTTCCATCTTAAGCATATTCACCTAACCCCAGATGAGGACAGAGAATTTAAATAAGCAAAAATCAATCAGCCTTTGTTTGCTTGTGTAAGTTGGGGACAAGTTAGGATCTTTGATTTATATTGCCTCTAAGTGAGAACTAGCATTCAGTGGGTTGGAACAGGAACATACTGTTCCAGAGCTAGCATGATGTAATCCAAATTTTGGTCAGTCAGTCACTTATCTTAGAAAAATTATCTAACTTAAAAGCAAAGGAAGATTAAATTTTTATTTCTTTTAGATCACATTTTTAGGCAAAAGAAGCAAACAAAAACCTTTTACCTTTGGAAAAACTAAGAATCAGGATTGGCCTGTAATTATAGGTTTATATTTGGGAAGGAGAAATACAATTTAAGCATGTTGCCAAGTCACACCATGGAGTGCTAAGCCATTTAAAAATAAACAGCAGTGTCAGAAAAGCAGTGTAAAACATGAGGGCCTGATCTTTGCAGAAACAAGCCTTGGGTTTTCAATTACTGCTTCTGCCACACCTTTAGGTTGTTGCTCTGCACTGCCTGTTTCCCGTTGGCCTAGAAGTTGCTGTTCCCTTCAACATAAACCCTTCCCCTTACTGTGCTGGCCTGTCACAGCACAGTACTGTCTCTCTTTACACTCTCTTTCACCACAAACTCTGAAAGATTACTCTGTGTTCTCTACATCTGATTTCTCAATACCCAACTCTCTTCCAAAGTAGCCTCTCCTCTCTACTGAAATGACAATCAAAAGATCACCACCAGTGGCCTGCCATGACCTTTTCTCAACCCTCAACATTTTTGTGGCCTCGACATTAACTTTTCATTCCTGTCTTATCACCTTTTCAAAGTCACTTCACCTCATGCTCACGACAGAGCACTGGTGTAGATCTCCTTCAGACTCCATCCTTTTGTCTCTGTGGCTGCCTTTTGTACAGTTCCAAAGGAAGCATAATGCCCAAGGTTTCCTGTCTGCTCTCCTTGTCATCCTTGAGGATCAGGTCCCATTATGTGGAAGCTCCTCCCCTCCATTCTTGCAGTTGGTTCTTTCTCATTTGTCACATCTCACTGTATTATTTTTTTAATGTAGTAATATAGGTGTTTATTTTATTTATTAAGTTTTAATTTTAATTCTAGTAAACAGATAGTGTTACATTAATTTCAGGTATACAATATAGTGATTCAATAATTTTATGTATTATTCAGTGTTCATCATGATAGGTGCACTACTTACTCCCCATTGCCTATCTCACCCATCCCCCTCACCTCCCTCTGGTGAGTCATCAGTTGGTTCTCTATAGTTAAGAGTTTTTTCTCAGTTTGTCTCTCTCTGTCTTTCTTTTTTCCCTTTGCTCATTTGTTTTGTTTCTTAAATGTCACATATGAGTGAAATCATACAGTATTTGTCTTTGACTTATTTCACTTAGCATTATACTCTCTAGCTCTGTTCATATTGTTGCAAAGGGCAAGATTTCATTCTTTTTTACGGCTAAGAAATGTTCGAAAGTACATAAATATATACCACCTCTTTATCCATTCATCTATCAATGGACACTTGGGCTGCTTCCATAATGTGGCTATTGTAAATAATGCTGCAATAAACAGAGGGAGATATATTCCTTTGAGTTAGCATTTTTGTAATTTTTGGGTAATTGCCTACTAGTGCAATTACTGGATTGTAGGATAGTCCTATTTTTAATTTTTTGAGGAACCTCCATACTGTTTTCCACAGTGGCTACACCAGTTTGCATTCCCACCGAGAATGCATGAAGGTTCCTTTTTCTCATCGTCACCTACACTTGTGGTTTCTTATGTTTTTTGACCTAGCCATTCTGACAGGTGTGAGGTGATATCTCATTGTAGTTTTGATTTACATTTCTGTGATGATGAATGATGTTGAGCATCCTTTCATGTGTCTGTTGGTCATCTGTATGTCTTTGGATAAATATCTGTTCATGTCTTCTGCCCATTTTCAAATTGGATTGTTTGGTCTTAGGGTGTTGAGTTGTAGAAGTTCTTTATGTATTTTGGATACTAATCTTTTATTGGATATGTCATTTGCAAATATCTTCTCCCATTCAGTGAGTTGTCTTTTAGTTTGGTTGATTGTTTCTTTTGCTGCAAAGGAGCTTTGTATTCTGATGTAGTCCCAATAGTTTATTTTTGCTTTTATTTCCCTTGCTCCAGGAGACATACCTAGAAAAATGTTGCTATGGCTGATGTCAGAGAAATTACTGCCTGTGCTCTCTTCTAGGATTTTTATGGTTTCAGGTCTCACATTAAGGTCTCATACATTTTGAGTTTATTTTCATGTATAGGGTAAAATGGTCCAGTTTAATTCTTTTGCATGTAGCTGTCCAGTTTTCGCAACACCATTTGTTGAAGAGAGTTTTTCTAATTGTATATTATTTCCACCTTTGTCAAAGATTAATTGACTATATAATTGTGGGTTTATTTCTGGGTTTTCTATTCTATTCCATTGATCTATGTGTCTATCTTTATGCTAGTACTATACTATTTTGATTAGTACAGCTTTGTAATATGACTTGTAATATAACTGGAACATTCTCCAAATAGATCACATATTAGGCTACAAAACAAGTTTCAACAAATTAAAAAAGATCAAAGTCATAGCACGCATCTTTTCTGACCACAACATTATGAAACTAGAAATCAACCACAAGAAAAAATCTAGAAAGAGCACAAATACAGGGAGGTTAAATAACATGCTACTAAGCAATTAATGGGTCAAATAAGAAATCAAAGAAAAATCAAAAAGTACATAGAAACAAATGAAAATAAAACACAATGGAATGCAGCAAAAGCAACTCTAAGAGGGAAGTGTATAGTATTATAGATCTACCTGAAGAAGCAAGAAAAATCTCAAAGAAACAATCTAGCCTTACACATAAAGGAGCTAGAAAAAGAAGAACAAACAAAACCCCAAACCAGGAGAAGGAAGGAAATAATAGAGCAGAAATAAATAATATAGAAACTAAAACAACAACAAAAACAACAAACAAAACAATAGAACAATCAATGAATCCAGGAGCTGCCTCTTTGAAAACATGAACAAAATTGATAAACCTCTAGCAAGACTCATCCAGAAAGAAAGAAAGACAGAAAGAAAGACAGAAAGACAGACAGACAGAAAGAAACAAAGAAAGAAAAAGAAAAAGAAGACCCAAATAAACAAAATCACAAATGAAAGAAGAAAAATAACCAATACCCCAGAAACACAAACAATTGTAAGAGATATGGAAAATTTTATACCTAGAAGAAATGGATAAATTCCTAGAAACATATAATTTACCAAAACTGAAGCAGGAAAATATAGAATATTGGAACAGAGCAATTACCAGCAAGGAAAGTGAATTAATAATCAAAAAACTTCCAGCAAACAATAGTTCAAGATCAGTCAGCTTCATAGGCAAATTCTACCAAACATGTAAAGAAGAGTTAATACCTATTCTTCTCAAACTATTTCAAAAAATATTGGGCACCTGGGTGGCTCAGTTGGTTAAGCATCCAGCTCTTGATTTGGCTCAGATCATGATCTTAGGATCGTGCTGGGCTCTGTGCTGGCACCCTGTTTGGGATTCTCTCCCCCCCCCCCCTCTGCC